CCCCTTCTCTCTCTCTCTCCCGGGCACCCATTCTTGGCTTCCGTAGCATCCCAATGTTTCTTTTTTTTTCTTTACGTATCCCCTCGGTCACTTGGCCGAGAGAACCTTTGTTCTGTGTTTTTTTTTCTTAATAATCCCGTGATCTTTCCAGAATTAAATAGGCCTACATGTTTTTCACCAATAAAGCATCTATTTAATCAAAGACATTTAAATAAAAGTCCTTTGGTTTAATATATCGTTGCAATGTAGTACAATAACAAGTCATAGCAAGTCAAGTGTCAAAATCCAACAATTGTTCCCACCAATCGCTTTTTGCACGGCTGGCTTTTTCGACCTGTAATCAGTAACGTATCCAAGAAGGAGCGTGGGGGGGGGGGGCGCACCCCCACAAAAAGCTTGCGCCCCCTCCCCCATTCGAAAACTTCGAAGCAAAACAAATTAGGCTAGGCTTATGCTTATGCTGTCACGGTTAACGTGTATTCGGGAATCTAAGAAGCAATATTTTTCAGTGGGCGTGGCCACCGAAAATAAATTCCACGCCCAATCATATTTTGGTCGCGTCCCCACCAGTTTCCCCATTTTAATACTGCTAGATACGCCACTGCCTGTCATCCCTTTTGCTTCACCGTCAGCCGCATTACAACTGTGTGCTCAGGTTTTTGTATGATATCATTAATTTTTTTCCCACACTCCAAAGTTTGTTCTGTGTTTTTTTTCTTGATAATCCCGTGATCCGTGTTCGCGGGACTTTCCAGAATTAATGAAATACATGTACACTAGCAAGCCAAGTGTCAAAAAGTGATTTGAGTGTATACGAAAATGGTTGACTTTTTTTAATAGGATTTTTATATTGTTTTCATTAATTACGGTACTGGGTGAAATTTTATGTTAATTTGTTGTATGTTTTGACATGTTTAATACAATTAGAATTTTCATTTTTAGGCTTATAAGTTCAATTGTTGAAAATAATAATCATACTTTTTAATTAATTAAATCTTTGTATGAATTGTTTAAAATAATTATCTTATATTTTATAGCTAATTTTATTGTTGATGTTTTATGTTTAGAAAATTGGAGTTACACACTTTCCGGTGATAGTGGTTTTTGTACAATTTTTGTCCCTCCTCAGCCTCCTTCTTTCTTCGCCCTTGTTTTTGTTCTCTAGTTATAGTGCTAGAAGGAATACAATAAATGAAATAGACGACAAATCAGAAAACTTAACTGTACTACAGTAAAATAATTAGATATGATTGATGTTCATATTGCTTTATTTCAGTTCCTTGGGGGTCATGGTTCGATCACAACCTCTACTGGTGGAATAGGCGACATGAGTCACACGTGATGTTCGTAAAGTTTGAAGAAATGAAACAGGTAGGCTGGGTAGTAAGGGTTCTGCCAATTCATGTAGCGTCTGGTCGGGGTAAGGCAATATCCCCTTTAATGTCCATTCCCCATGCGGCTCGATCCTTACCGGATGCCCAGGCGGCCTCTTTCGGCGCCTGGCGTCATCACTGAGCCTAGACCATATTAGGCCTAATTCTACAGTAACCAAACACCAAAAATGATGCCCACGTTAAACAGACATTTATTATTTTTTAGGACTTGACAAAGATTGTTCGGAACGTTTGTGAGTTCTTGGGACGTGATCTGAATGAGGAAACCATCAGTCGTATTACAGATCACTGCTCGTTCAGCAGTATGAAGACAAATCCACAAACAAATAAATCGGATCTCATGGCGAAAACAGCTGACAGTTCTACTGGCAATAAATTTGCCTTTATGAGAAAAGGTGAGCGTTTACTTATGTAATTCACTATGTAGGCTACTAGGGCTTACGACATGCAGTCAGAATGTGGTCCTATTCCATCAAATTTACCTGAAGTATCCCGATTCTAGCTTTTTAAAGCGACTATTCTTTTATCTGATATTGTTTCGAGTGGCTCAGCCGTATTTGATCAGCACATAGAGACGAACTCGCTGAAAATCTGTACGCGCGTGCTGTTCACATTCTGTCAACAATAACACGAACAACTGCAAACATATTATTAGGGCTATTCATACTGACGCGAATAAACGAATTCGATCCACTGAGCGAATGTGTGGTTTAGGATTTGGATCTTTTTTCACGTTGTTTTATTTTAAAAATTCGACATTAAACAACATACATAGAGTCATATTACGGTAGCTTGATGCCTATCAAATAACTAATACAAATTCACCATAATTCGTAAATCCGTAGCTTCCAAGGAGCTCGCCTAGCCGCCCCCCGCCCCGTCAGGGCCTTTATCCCCCCCTGTCGGGCAGATCCTGGCGCCATCATTGTTCATCTGTATGCCTATAAATAAAACATCGTTCCCAGTAAATACACTGCAGCTCTGAATGTTAAAATTTTTATCCTTTCAGGAAATGTTGGAGACTGGAAAAACCACTTCACAGTAACCCAAAATGAGCAATTCAACAAACTATATAAAGAGAAGTTAGACGGAACAGATTTAACCTTCGATTTTGTGTTATGAAACCGAAGAGTGTTGGTGCACCCTTTATCACCGTGATTACATCCCGCAAACAGTGAAATGCGTTCATCGTAGGCCTAAATCAAAACGCATAAGCTTACTCAAACGTACGGCGGCACTTGCCAATTTCAAACTCCGAAATTAGGTAGAAGGTCTAATAATAGGAAAGGTCCACCATCATTTAAAGACGCGCAACGTCACCCTTAACAATAATATACACCCTTAACAACTTCTCCCTATTCACAAAGTTAGTATTGTATAAATAATTAACATCGTTCATTCTTAATTAATAAAATTGTGCGAAGGGTAATAAGGACAAAGTGCTGCCTCCCCCCCCCCCAATTATGGCGTACAGATAGCCACGACCTTATCTTGGGTACCTCTTCAAAAGTGCCACTCACATGGCAATTCATGATCACAGGTACGGGGTGCACTCCTCTGGAACTACTTGAACGTGTTTTAAAATCCTGCAAATATGTTTGTGTCAATCACGGTGTTTTTGATAGTGTTAAATTTGCCATTTGATTTTACTACCGTTTGTAATTTACAAAAGTCATTATGAGGTTTGTGTAATTTTAATGGTAATATTTTTTATAGACTCTGTACATGTTTTATTGTTTCTCCTAATGCGATGGCGACGCGACGGCAACGCGGCGACGAACGCACGCGACGGCACGAAACCAACCGACCGCTTTTATAATGAGGATCCGTTCAGACTGCCACCAAAGAGCTTAAAACTGCAAGAGGTCCGACTGCCCTGCTTTTGTATGCAGCAAGGCATGCAGGCAATGGAACGCTAAAAGTACTGCCACGAAATAGGGGGCGCCCTACACATAATTTATAAACGCGTGCGCGTTGCTCGAATCTTAAAGACCACGCCCCTTCATGGAAGTATTTTTGCGTTTCAACGAATCCATAGCAGTCCGACCTCTTGCAGTTTTATACTCTTTGTTGCCACTGACAATCAGCAGACGGCGTTACGTCGTCTACCGCTCGCCGGAAGCATAGGTGGATCGTGCGACGGTCGTACCACCGTCGCAGTGAGTGCCCGTCTGTGTAGGGAGGTTAATAAATGATTGATTGATTGAATAATAATTGTGAGCGGGCGCTCTAATTTGAGGAGAGTTCCGAAATGTACAAATCAGTACATGTTTTAATTAACTAAGCCTAATATATGTACATAAATTCAAAATAAACCAAAAATACAAGTACAAGTAATATTGTGGTACTAGCCACATTTTATATTTGTATATGATTAAGTTGTTTAAAAAAAAAAAAAAAAAATTAATCTTGATAGGCCTACATAATTAATTTTATTAACGGTATTATAAAATTTAAGATATGTATTAATAAATCATTATGGACAGAATGCCAATAACAATGTATTTTATTAGTTTGTTCGATTTTTCTAGTTATTTTCATACACAAACTATATTATAATTATCTTTGCTACCATCAGAATATTACGCTTATGCGCTTCCACTCGGATCGAGTACCTAAAATACATGAACAAAAATCATTTGAGGACATTAATTTACAAATAACTGGGAGAAAAACGTCACACCCTGTCTCACATTTGAGCAATCACTCTGTATTAATGTGAACTCGAATATAATCAGAAAAGCTACCAGCAGCTACATACAGGCATCCAGCGCATGCACAGGCCATAGGTGTTTTAAAGTGATATGTATGTGTGTGTATTTTGAAGTGATATATACATATATATCTGGTCAACCTATATATTATTATTATATCATTTCATAATACTGTACTTTCTTATATGCAATTTTATTGTTTAATAAAATAAAGAATGACAAGATTATTATCATTAACATTATTATTATTATTATTATTATTATTATTATTATTATTATTATTTATTATTATTATTGTTTGTTATCGCACTATTATTATTATCATTATCATCATCATCATCACCATTGAATTGGATTTATTCGGTGTAAACACCAAGAATAGTCCACGAAAGTCTAGAAGAAGACTTGTTCCCCAGTGGGGTCCACTTATTGCCATGGGTAAAATTATCTTGCAAACGTCTCTCTGTGGTAAAAGGAACTAATGGTTTACTGTTCTGTATCATAACAAATACTATCAATCAAGTATGGCACACCAGAAAACCCGTGAACTTTCTTAGTCTCTAAGGACTAATGATTCTATTGGATGTTTAATGGAAACGCCACCTTTTTGCGTAGAGAGTGGACAGAAATAATTCTGTGCGGTACAGAAATAATTCTGTGTGGACAGAATTATTTCTGTTCTGGACAGAATTATTTCTGTTCTGTGAGAACATAGAGAATAGTTAGAAAGTAATAATTCTGTAGTACATAATTATTTCTGTTAACACACAATTAATTATGTACACAGAATAGTATGACAGCAATAATTCTGTGGTACATAATTATTTCTGTAACCACAGAATTAGGCCTAATTATGTACACATAATAGTGTGACAGTAATAATTTTGTGGTACATAATTATTTCTGTAACAACAGAATTAATTATGTACACATAATAGTTTGACAGTAATAATTAGCCTATGTGGTACATAATTATTTCTGTAACAATAGAATGTCTATTTAAAGACATAATTAGCAGTGGCCAAAACGGCGTCCCGTAATACTGAGGCCTAATTTCGTCTCAACTGTGCTTCAAAACTCAAATACTCCAATTGTATTTTGGACGTACACAAAGATAATAAATCACCCCCAGCCTTTTTGTTTGTTTAACCCTTATAAAGTTAACTGTTTACAGTTCACAATTTCACTGAAAGTTGCAGACGCCTTCGGAAGGTACAGGTACGTAGGCCTATTATCTTTGCAGTACTTCACAAATTTATGATACCAAGACCTAGTTGTTATTTATTTATTACCAGATAATATACTTAAATCACATTTTTTTTTTCTTAGTTAAGGTTTATCGATTTTAGCAGACCATTATTATAGGCCTAAGCCTACGGTACATCGTATTTTTGGGAGTGATTCTGTACCGGATGAAATACTGAGCTAATCCCTATGTGCATAGAGATATTTTATATGATGGGGCGTTGATTAGGCCTACCTTTGCTCAATCATCATAGAGATACTAACATTTTTTAATACTCGTTATAAGCTATACTGGCCCATAAGCTTATAAACAGCCTGGCAATCTTGTTATAGACAAACCATTTAGGCCTACTCCAAGGTTTAAGATTTACACTTTTTTTTTTATAAGAACCAGTAAAATTTTTCCCAGGCTCAGTGTTCTTATTTTTTTGCCAATTTCAGGCTCAAAATGTTCTTATTTTGTTCTTATGTTACACACTTTTCAAAGATACAAATGTATTATTGTACCAGTATACACTGTACTGGAATGGAGGTAAAAGTGCCCCAGGAAAAACTGGCCCCGAGAAAACGTCCCCAGAAAAAAGTCCCCGGTAAAAATGGCCCCAAATGACAAGTAGGAATACTTTGCGAAAGCTATTATTTATATATAATGAAATGTAAAAGCAGTTATTTATATATAATGAGTTTGAAGTCAATTCGTTATTTATATATAATGAAATCAGTGAACTTATTATATATAAATAATTGTAAGTTACTTTTCATATTTATATATAATGATTTGTTACCTTTTCATTATTTATATAATGGAATCAGTGAACTTATTATATATAAATAATTTTAAGTTACTTTTCATTATTTTTATATAATGATGTGTTACCCCTTCCTTATATCTATACAATGAAACCAGTAACCTTATTATTTATAAATAATGTTCGGTTACCTTTTCATTATTTATATATATAATGAAATCAGTACACTAATTATATATAAATAATTAAAATGTTAACGCAATTATTTACATATAATCTTTTAGACGTAAATGCATTATATACAAATAATGGGTGATCTATTCAATTATATGTTAAATAATGAATTATATATAAATAATTGTCTTAAATGATAAATTTACACTTGGCGCCTCATATTATGATACTAAATTCAATTACCTTCTTAAATATTTGGAATAAGCACTTTTGAACTCATAAAAAACATGCATTCTGTTCCTTGTAGAATGAAATGGGCATGATTTTGAAGAGGTCACCTCACTAAATCAAGCCTCAGAAATAAACCAGATGAGATGTCATCAGGGTACGGCAGGAATAATATAGTATATTAAATACTCTTTCTTGTAATATACAACTCGACTTGATTGGTGTAGGTCCTAATTACGCACTTTTGCTTCTAAAAATAAGTGTATTTTTTCACAAACAGTCTTTCCCAAGTAGATATAATAATATAATAATTTTATTGATTCTGTACAGACACCATTTACATCAGCGGCGCTCAGTGGTGCGTCAATCAAGAGAAATAACTTAAATGAAAACTAGCAACTTAACTACAAAAAAAACTAGGTACATTAAGAAACACCTTATACTGCTTGTATACATAAACTAAAATATACCCTCATAAAGTAGATGGGTCAAGCAAAAGCCGGTTTTGGATTACCGTTTTAGGACACGTCTATTTGATACGAGGGGAGAATGTCTAAGATATTTTTTTTGAAAAAAAAAAAAAAAAAACCCGCGGGAAATGTTATCGCATTATCACGTGTGACTGCACTTTACATTTACTGTACTTGTAATATATGCTACTTTGATAATCGTCTAGTAACAATTCACTTTGTAGGTTTATGGGGTGTGCATGAACTGTATTTCATCAAGTAGGTATTTTCAATACCTCAATGATTTCATTACTCAATTTGGATTCTCAACCAATCAGAAGCATTGTTTTTTATGTTTGTTTTTCTCTTTCGTGGCGTGACCACCACCTTTATTCAAAGCAGCACAGGATTTCTTTGTATTTCAAATAGTGTTTTTTTTTTCAATTAACCTTTGTATTCTATTTATACCAGTTTATATATTTTGCTATTTTTATATAATTAGGCCTATATAATTTTATAAAAATGGATACACTGTCATTAGTATGATAAGAAATAATACTAAGCAAGGAAAATAACAGGCTTATTAGCAAAACAATTATTATAATAATGGCGATTTGTTTTATGATAATTATATGTTAATTTTTAAATGTTTGTTTTCTCTTTCGAGGTGAAGTTACCACCTTTATACATCAATACAAATAAACCATAATACAATATTAAATTATAAATGTTTATCATATAAAGGTATAACTTGTTTGTTTTCATGTTATTTTAACTTTTGTATAGCCAGTACCACAAGTAAGGTTCTGTTCTTAAATAGCCAAAGCCTAAATTATATCACGCAGTCGTTTAAGCCAAAACGTATTGAAACAATTTTAAAAATACTGCTATTCCCTGAGAGTCCCCAAAATAATTTTAAGTTCTTGTTTTCATTGTTGTCACGTAATATAGGAACAACCATTATGGAAACATTTGCAAGACTTGACGAAGAAAGCGGATTTCATCTGCTATTGACGACATCAAAAGAAATCGTAGACCGCATGAAGACGTTCAAAGTCAGAGATGATGATGTATGGGTCATAACGTATCCAAAATCAGGTATTATTATTCATAGTATTTACTTATTTCAGGCTTGACTTCACCATCGTGTCTTTGCGTAGCCTGGTTTCCTGATAGCTCCACTGACGCTAGTGTTTTCAGTGCAATCGTTGTACCGCGTAGCTGTCTCCGACGCAATCGGTAAAGCTCGGTTTCCTACTATCGCTCACCCTCGCCGTCAGTCGTCGGGCAGGTTGAACCTGGTTCAACTCTGCCGATTGCGTTGCAGACGAATCGGGGTGCCTTCCCGATAGCGTCAGGGCAGCTAGCACTGCACCTTGATTCGTCTGCAAGGCACTCGGCAAAGTTGAAACAGGTTCAACCTTCCGGGCAACTGTCGCCGATAGGGTGAGCGATTCTATGCATGGGCGTCGATCGGTAGGGGACACTTTTCAAAGTAGGGGGGGGGACATCCTATCAATTGTCTTCCCCCACTTGTCACCAATCTTCTATAAGTAAAACCCCACTTTTCAAAGTAAATGGAAAGAATAACAATTACGCATTACTGTTATGAATTTTGTCTATTCACTTTTCCAAGTGCGGTGCGCATTTCCGGACCAAAAAACCGAGTAAAAACGCAATTTTGTACAATTCGTAACCATCTCAGTAACCACTACTTCGATTTGATGGGTGCAACGGTTATCAGAGGCTAAATTGTGAAAACAATGTACTGTACGTTGTTAAAATTGGAAGCGTGTAAACTTATTAGGCCAATATTTTTACTCAAAAGTGCACAATTTTTACTATAAACGATTTATTCCTTTTGTATAGGCCTATTATTACCCGTGTGTTTAATCGCATACATAGATTACTATTTTTCTTAATTTCCAAAAACTATAGTTGGTCAATTATATTAAACAAAAATTATACATCCTTTGACACAGACAGGTCTATCTATTTCGATTTATTTAAGTAGTGATACCACAAGTCAACCTCCAGTGTTACGTTGACATAATCTCAAAATGACGTCACAATAATCACTGGCGGATTCAAGTGGGGCCGAGCCGACCCCCACCCTAAATTTTTCGAAACTATGAAAAAATGGAAAAAAAAAAGAAAAAGAAAAGAAAATTAGAATTAGAATTTAGGTCTGAGAGTGCCATTTCCGGCCATCTAGGGGTGTCATAATAAAAAATGTTCTTAACTCAGCCCCAACTATGGTGGGGCTGAGTGGGGCCCCATCCCCCTATTTCGCTTTTCTAGAGCCGACACTGATAATGATAAATTAGGTAAATCACCTTTATGTTTATGAAATCAAAATGTTAACTAATGTTCAGTGAGCTTTCTATTTCCCTATTGTTTGATTGTAAATTAAACGGTACCGGTAGTATTTCAACTAACAATGGTGTAGTCGCCATACTACTTGCACAAAAGTGAAATTCAAAGGGAAAAAGCCCTTGATTGATGATTTTAAAAGTACTGTACATGCAAAGATACTAAATTAATGATTGTTTTAAGTTTATCTTATTTGTTTTCAAGGTTCGAATACGTCACAAGCTAATCAATTGATAATAAATCATTATTTTTTTAATGTTAGTTTGCACGAAATAAGCCGGCATAATTATGATTTACCAGGATAATTTTAAAAACTTGTTATGATGAGTATTTCAGTGGCAGATTCTAGGGGCCTAGCAGGCCCACCCTCCCTATTTTTTTTTCTTCAAAATTTGAAAGTAGAGAAAAATGAAAATTATATTCAAATTTAGTCTGAGAGTGCCATTTCCGGCCAACCTGAGGTTCCATAATCATAAATGTTCTTACCTCAGCCACAACCATGGTGGGGCTGATGTGGTCTACCACTCTCCATCTGTAAAAGTCCCTCCCCAAGCCTGTTGCGATAGTGTGTAGCGATTGTATTTTAGTATCCTGAATGTCTCCTTACTACTTCAATTTTCGTGCACTAATTTCCAGGTACAACGTGGATGCAAGAGATTGTTTCTGCAGTTTGTGCCGATGGAGATCTAGAAACAATCAACAAAACATCTTTGACTGAACGTGTTCCGTTCATCGACTGCGTCTTTCCATTTGACAAAAGACCACCGTACATAGACCTCGAAGAAATGACATCTCGTAGGCTCATCAAAACTCATTTTCCGCATCAACTTATCCCTCCTGGTGTCCTGAAACAGACTCCAAAGGTCAGAGCAGATATATTGTACGCAATTACTGTAGCATCCCTATATAGTTTGTTTTAGTTCTACGATAACGACGTGAAGATCGCGCGTACCACGCGTACGTACACACTTCCGGAAACATTCACGCTTTAGTAGACATAACAGATACAATACGAAAGCAAAATGAAATTGATATTCAGCATCATTATCAGTTATTTAACATATATCAGTTGTAGGTCTAATTATTTTTACGTTTAAACTCACAATTTTCTAGTCCACAGTTATACCGTACTATAGCTTTCGATCTATTAATCGAGCCGGACTGAACAAGTAGCTTTGATGGCTTACGTACATTATTTACGTGTTTATGATTGGTCAGAACAAGGTAATTCAACAGAAGGACGCACATCTCCGCTCTCGAACATAGTGCGTGCGTACAGTCCTTTGATCTTTACTGTGGCATCGACAATCCGATACTAGTTGCGAGTACAGCCGTCAATTATGAGTCTATGCGTGCCATTCGTTTTATGGTGTTAGTTTTTATTTTATTAATTGTGGGTACTTCGCAATGTCTGTTACATCTGATTTTTTTTGACCGCGAACTTGTTAAATGCTTCTATAAACTACAATTTGATTTGTGAAAATTGACCAAGAAAATGAAAAGTTATAACAATTTAAAATTTACAAATTTTATAAAATTTCATGTTCTTATGTAACATTAATCTGTCATTTTGACAATGTTGGCATAAGGTGCCGAAAACGAACATTTGAGTATATACCTGTCCATTTATTAATTTTTTCTGCGAAGTGAGTCTCATGAACGACAATTCACCACAATTTTGGTAAAATTAATGTTGAAATGAAGAATATAATTTCAGTCTAATGTTAGTGCAAAATATAATTAGGCCTTTGTAATCACAGCACAACGCGCGATTATCATGGCAACTAACACGCACGTGAGTAATTCGTCACGTGCGCTGACGGTTTATGGTCTGGTTGCTATGGTTTTTGTGACGTTCAGCGTGTAGGGACGCACGTGCGCCTAGAATGTCGATGCCAGAGTTAAAGGCTACGTTCAGACCTGTGAGATACGCTAGGCGTATCTAACGCCGGGCGTACGTTAATCCATGGCGTAACTAGCGAGATGTCCAGACTGGGCGATTAATGAACGCTAGCGTAAGT